TCACCGCACGTACGAGGCATTCAAATATTCAAAGATCATGTCCTAAGGGGAAAGGTCCCCCACACAAGGTTAGGCAAGCCACTTACCTCGAACCGGCTCAATATCAACTAGAAACCACGCTCTTGCCACGAGTATCCGACTCCAAATGGCCCAAATCTATTCAATTCAATTACACATTGTAAATAACATCGCAAACACCTGGTTTTGCTATTAAATTCAAAGCTACGGCGTGAAATTAGGTGAAATGACCAAAATGCCCTTCAGGACAATGCCTCGGAATCGAATAATTTTCACATTTTCGGAACCCTCGTACTCTCACGAGTCTAGCCATATAAAAATCTCCCAAATCGGAGGTCAAATGCTCACTCAAAACCCAAAAGTTTGGCCTAAGAAGTTTTAACCAAATTCCTCAAATTTTAGTCCCAAATTCGAATTTTTAATGATGGATTTAACTACAAAATGATGAAATATAACTAGAAGAGATTAAGGAAACGTTACCCAATAATCTTCTCTTCAAAACCCACTCAAAATCGCCCTCTCCCGAGCTCTCAATTGATTTTGTAACTTATGAACTCAAACCCTCGAAATTTCTATTTCTGCCCAGGGATTTCCGCTTCTGCGGACTAGGGACCGCTTTTGCGAAAACCAAGCCGCTTCTGCGGTTTTCACTAAAGGGAACAGGGCCGCATCTGCGATAGCTGGGCCGCTTCTGCGGCTCGCTTCTGCGATGCCTAAGCCGCTTCTGTGGTTCCGCTTTTGCGAAAATGGCACCGCTTCTGCGGTTTCTGAGGAAAAAGGAGACAAGCCGCTTCTGCAGCCACACAGCCGCTTCTGCGGCGCCGCATCTGTGGTTCCCAAGCCGCAGATGCGAAAATACCAGAAGAGGGACATTCAGCTGCTGTAATAACTTCAAAATTTATCCGTTAACCACCGGAAATCATCCCGAGGCCCCTGGGACCTCAACCAAAAGCACCAATACCACCTAATACCTTATTCAAACTTGTACCAATCTTAAAAACACCTAAAACAACGTCGGAAACCCGAATTAATCAAGGATTCAAGCCTAAGAACTTCAAATTCCAACAAAACACGCTTTCGATCAAAAACCTATCCGAACCTCGTCCGAATGACCTGAAATTTTGCACACACATCCCAAATGACATGACGGAACTACTGTAACTCCCAGAATTCCAATCTGACCGTCGGATCAAAAACTCACTATCGGACCGGGAACTTATAAAATTCAAACTTCGGCATTTCAAGCCTAAATGAGCTACGGACTTCCAAAATACATTCCGAACGCGCTCCCAACCCCAAAATCACCTAACGGGGCTAACGAAACCATCGGATTTCCATTCTCAGGTCGTCTTCACACTGTTCCGACTACGGACCACTTTTCAACACTTAAGCTCTCATTTGGGGACTAAGTGTCCCAAAGCTCTCCGAAACTCAACACCGAACGTCCCAGCAAACCAAAATAGCATAAATGAACTTAGGGGAAGCAGTTAATGGGGGATCGGGGCGTAAATTCTTAAGACGACCGGCCGGGTCGTCACAAGTAGTAGTCGGTTCTGATTAGCTTCTGAACCAAGGATTCTGCCCCCGAATGGTTCCTACAAGTGCCCTCATAAACTTCTCTCATGGCGTATTTGGTCTCCCATGGTCCTAAGCATCTATTTATGGGCCAATGAAAGACCTCCTGAACAATGCCCCTTCGACCAGGCTAAATCTGGAAGCTTTGGTGTGTAAGGTTCTCGACTCTTTAGGATCCGAAGGCAATTTTCATGTCTTCAAGTATTCTATATATTTGTTTCTCCAACCCTAAGTTACACTCGTTTACTTTGGCGTGGCCTTCTTCTATCACCGAATTCATTAGTTGTACTACTGCTCCCGAGATGAATTCATCGGACTCGACCGACGACCCCAAGTTATCTAGTGCATTGGCCTCACTATTTTGATCTTGGGGTACATGTTACAGGGTCCATTCGGAGGTCTCCTGCAAAATGTTTCAAATGGTCATCTGCTCGCAGGGACTTGACCAAAATATCATAAATATAAACTTCCATTGATTTTCCTATTTGTTATTAGAACATCCGGTTCACTAGGCATTGGTAGGTAGCACCAGCGTTGTTTAATCTAAACAGAATTACGTTATAACAGTAGGTGCCAAATTTAGTGATGAAAGAAGTCTTTTCTTGATCGTCCGGGTCCATCTGAATTTGGTTGTACTCGAAGTAGGTGTCGAGAAAATTGAGCATCTCTTTCCCGGCCGTCGCGTCGATCATTCAATCGATGTTAGGCAAAGGAAAAGAATTCTTAGTGAATGCTTTGTCTAGGTCCGTATAATATACACACATTCTTACTTTATTTCCTTTTTAGGCACTACTACTACATTAGTTAACCAGTCCGGGTATTTAAATTTCCGAGTGGATCCTATTTTAAGAAGTTTGGATACCTCATCCTTTATGAATGCATGTTTGACCTCAGACTGTAGCCTCCTCAGCGGGATCTCTGTCATGTCAAGATGGGACCAAGCAAAACAACATACGTTAGCTTTAAGAAAATCAATAAGTTTTTTATAAGCTCGGGGGTTAACCCCGTGCCCAGGTATACCTTTCAGTCTGGTAGGTGTTCGATTAATATGACTTTCTCCAACTCCTCGATCATCGATTTGGTAGCGGCGGTGTCATCAGAAGCTATGAATGATCTCAGGACACCGCAATCGTCCTCCTCGTCTGCTCCTCATTCCTCCGATTCAGCCGAGGCCGGTATCAGTGATTGCTATTTAATTTATTCTTTTCTGGCGGCTCCGTGTTCTTCGATGTCGAAATCACTGGCACCGGGATTACCTATTTGACATCTAACATCTCCGTTGCGCCTGGTTGTTCTCCATAGACCATCTTAACTCCCCCCGGTGTGAAATATTTCTACGCCTGGTGCAAGGTCGAGGTTACTGCCCTTATATTGTGAACCCACGGTCTTCCGAATAGAGTGTTATACCTCATGTCCCCCTCGATCACATAGAACTTTGTTTCTTGAATCACTCCAGTGGTGTTTACCAGCAAGTTTATCTCTTCTTTAGTGGTTTCACATGCCATGTTAAATACGTTCAACACCCGGACTGCTGGCATGATTTGGTCTTGTAACCCAAATTTCTCTATGACTCTTGATCTGAAGATATTAGCGGAGCTACTAGATCAATCAACACACGATTAACTCGAGTTTTGTTGATAACTACGGATATTACCAGTGCATCATTATGAGGCTATACGATACCCTTGACATCTTCATCGCTGAACGAAATAGCTCACTCCGGAACATAATCCTGAGTGCATTTTTCCCTAGTGATGGATACTTTAGTGCATTTAATCATTGGTCCTTGGGCGAGGTCGACTCCTCCGATGATCATGTTGATCACGTGT